AGAGCAGGTAGCAACCTTCGTGGGTAAAGAAGCTTCAGGTAATTTTTTGCCTCATGTGAAAGCGACTGCCTCGCTGCCATTCTGGTAACGAGCGCCTGCTTCGGAACGCATAGTTCGGAACGCCTACTCTCGCAGTCAACAAAACAGAGAGAGAACCAGAAAGCGTATCCTCGAGGAGTGGGCGTCTGTACGGGACGATAGCGATTCACGGCGTTGTCCTAGAACTCTTTTTCTTCTACTTCTTTTTTGATGCGCACTCGTAATGAGCCGCCACTGACTTGAGACATTCGGGCACAGACGTCATTGCCTCGAAGCTCACCTACGCCAGGCGGGCGTGTGGCTCTGCCGTTCGCATAATTACGCGGATATAGTGCCAAGATTCACGAGAGCCATCCGAAGACACTTACTCGCCAAGAGGGTTCAAAAAAAAAAAAAGATCGTAGCTCCTTGTAGCACTTCTTATAGCACGTAGATTTTCGTGGGATAATCTGTGTGGAATAGATGCTAACGACGTGGTTGCAACTAATGCCAAGAATTTGCACCCACCAAGGCGACTCGTCCATTGCATTCGTGACTTTTGAAAATGCGCACGCTTTATTCACATGCGATCCTCGAATACCAGCTGAGACCACGCGCGAGACATTATGTGAAGCCTGTGTTTGACTACATGATAGTGTTGTGAACTCTAACGTTACAGATTTATAAAGATAGTAATCTCGGCGTTGTGCTTGATTTCATCGATAATTTGGGAAAGTCAAGATACTACGAGGCATCAATACATTATTACAGGTATAGTCATTATAATAACTTAGCTTTTCTCGATATTTTCGTCGTTTCTGAAAATTATAGTAATCTTAACGGCAGAGGGGCTTCAACACGAGTCGCTCCAAAAAGGTAAGGAAGTTAGCATCGTTTATCGTCAACGATGCTAACCAACCATTCCTATTCACTTCACGCAAGCGATTCTCTAAAGAAGGCCAACATTTACGAATGAATACACTTTAACGTTAAAGAACATCCGAATGTCGAAATTACCGGCGCACTCCACTAAGGCGTCTCTCATAACCGTATGGTTGTTTTGGGGCGCTATGCCCCACTTATCAATCAATCATCAAGCAGGCATAAAAACGCAGTTAATGAATGCGTTGGTTTCTTGTGGGCCGTATTGTTATCGTATATGCTTATTTTTTAGAGTATGACAATATCACATAGCGCCAAGGTTTAGCACGATATACCAGTGCGTATCTTATCTGCTTGAATTGATTACAGAGCATATGCTTGCCATGTCGTGAAGTTGATGGAAAAGGAGATGCTTTTTTGATCGCATCTTCTATTAAAAAATTACCTAAGTCGTAGAATACCGATGGCTACCTACCTATTATATACGCATACATTAAACTGAATAATAAAGAACAGCAAGTTGATCACACTGTTTATGTGCCTCCTTCTCGGCGGCTTTTACGCCTACGAAGGCTACAATGGAAAGCAATCAGAAAACGATTTACGCGATTTCTCGGGCCAAATGCTCGCCACCTCCTTCAGTTGTTTGCCGCGAATGCAAGCAGCGCGGGGTGACCGTGCCGCGCACGAAGGGATGTCCGGCTCCTTGTGTTGCAAGCCCCCTGCCAGCCGACGCTGATGGCGCGCTGAATATTCGTGGCTGCCACAAGGCATAGCTAATGGCAGCCGCTGCGGTATGCATTGCGCAACGCTGTTACGTCACAGCAGAATCGCGGTGTACCTGTTCGACGGGTAAGGGAAGACTAAAGAAAATCGATCGATGCTTTTGTTGTTATTCTTCAGCTCAGTAGCGAGCCACGCGAGGGGACAATGCCCCGAGTGGGAATCTGTAATTGCAATGACGACAGATGATGACCATCTTCGTAACAAGACATCGAGGTGACATTTATGAGGGTTCTTCTGACGAGCACTACGCATTTGGTTCGAATCCGAACACCGCCTCTCTTGAGGTCCGAGTGCATAATTGTATGATGAAGTTTGGATGCACGCGAAAAATTGGGAATGTCATTCGTGGTCGACCCACCCATTTTTTTTTTTATTATTAGTCTTGAGTCTGACCGAGAATTTCTCAAAACATGTTTCGAGGCTGTTTCGAGTCTGAATGATCACTATTTAGTGTATCTTCGGTAAGTCTGGGATAAAATGGTGAGCCTGAGTCCAGGAAAGCTATCTATAGGCAAGAAAAAAATCATAGTTTGTGAAGGAAGCTTGAGCGAGTTCCGCTTCCATTGTGAACCTATATGAATGCCTAGCCCAAGTTGCTATGCAGTCCCCCGCTTAGGCGACTCTTATAGCCTTCGTTTCCTTCTATCGCGCTGAACACAGTACTGCCCACTGAGTCGGGCACCTGAGGACTTTCAGTCAAGTTTTGCATCCCTCCATTCGTATAGTGCTGACACACTTAGGGGAGAAAGCAATGTTAGAGCTTAAATAAACAACAGTATTCGAAACACATGGAAATGTTCAACGGGTTTAGAACCGAAAATATGCGCTTGAAGTGCAGTTACAGTAATGTTATTTTCTTTGAATAATATAAAAACATGCAAATGAAAGAACCCGGTGGCTGGTCGAATCAAGCAGACGCGCGCGAATCACACTTTGCGTGTTTTCCCGCAGGCGTCCACAGGTGGGGCGTGCATATTATAAGCACTGTTAATCCTAATTTCTCGCGTGAGTAGATCTGAGGAGTATTTTCTAAAGCTGTCGTTTTTGACGAGCTCTTTTAGTCCACCACATTGCGCGAATTTTCGGATTTTTACTCTTGAGAAATTGAATTGTAAGATAATGAGAAACTAAACAAGACAATTACCACACACATACTGCTAGAAATATGACAAGACATATAACACAAATTTTAAAAGTAAGCAACAGAAGCAAGCAACGAAGTTGAACGTAGCAGAGAAATAATTCGTGTAAACGGAGACATAAATACATAATTTAGAACGTATCGCAGAAATTGCTGCAGGTTATTTCGCCAAATCGATCAATTAAATTATCACCTGTGCAAATGACAACTGATATATCGGTATTCTGCAGTACTTCGTGACAGTTCCTGCATTGCTATAGGTTCGGTGCTGAATATTTGTTATCAACGTGTTAAAAGGTAATTGCAAAGTTTTAATGTCTATCTTGCCCTTAAGTTAGCCGACTACTGATCGGATGTACACAAAAGTAATGTAAGCCTTACGCAAAAGCAAATGTAGCAGGCTGTAGAAACAAATATTAGTAGCATAGACGCCAGATAGCAAGCAAACAGACAATGCGTCGACAAAAAATGAGATGTGGGCTCAGTAAGTAATCATATCACAATACATATGCTGCCACGCCCACCATATAACATGGCGACATCTTATGGCACTGAAGCCCGCACTGATGCTTATAATCAAAACAAATAGTACACCTTTCAGTGTTTTCTTTTTCCTTTTTCGGTACTGACGTTGACGTTATTCTTGTACGCCCCTAAACTTGCGTTAAGGAAAAGGGAAGGGAGGGGGGGAAGACAAGTGACAATGGGTTTCCTAGAAAAATGAGTTTGCGCGCTATTTCCTGGTCGTTGCTGGCCTGCGCAGGATGCCCACATTTCCCCGTCGTGTCTGTTATCGACGTTCGTCCAAGAGATGTTGTCAGCAACTAACGATGCGACCATGTTGTTGCTCGACAATGTCGCATCTAGCGGACAGAGTCAGTTCATATCGCTGTCTAGAAGTGAAGATGCGAAAAATAAACCTCGCAAAGTAAAACAAAAAAAACGCGTGCAAAACAAGCTGCACGCCGTCACGTCCAGAGGGGGAGAGACTTCCGCAGACGTGTGGCGTCAATGAAGGCACGTGCCACGCTCCACCAGAACCTGTTTTGCATGCACAGGCACGATCCTCGTAAATAAGGAAAATAAAAAGCGACTACCGGTACACAAACGACCGTTTCTGACGACAGGCAGTCAATTTCGATGCAAGCAGAAACGCCCTTCCACCATGACGGTTCGAAAGCCACTTTTCTGGACAACATCGTGACTCATGCTCCTGGAACGGCTCGCGATTCGTCGCGGTTTTCTTCGACGGCATTGCATCTTGAAACTTTATACGACCACCAGTAGGGAGTCTGCACACTTTACCGGAACTAACGGGCACGTCAGTAGCGTATTGAGCTCTTAACGCACGCCTTACGTGCACTTTCTGTTGGCTTTTCCGCGATGGTTCTCGTACTGCGAGATAGACAAAAAAAGGTATAATCGTTCGTGCGTCACGCTAAAATCCGAGACGCTACCGTGGAAGTGCTAGTGGAGGGCGTCCGCAACGGTCGCGGATTAACCGTGCGCGGAGCGGTTCTCTGGCAAAGGGGCCCGTAGCCCCGCCCCATAGCGAATGCTACCGTGACCACTGCTTCACGCAACGTCCATTTAGGCGGCGGCGCGTGCTACAACAAGAAAGAATCTCGAGGGCGCTCATCTAAGAGATATTCACCCAAACTTTCAGCACGATCTGCATTCTGAGTCAGTAGATGCATTCTAGCGAGCCTCGCATCGTACGGGGCTTGCACTGGAAGGGTCCTGTTCCACGGGACGTGGTCCTTCGAGAAGGTCGGGGTGCGCAGCCAGTGTCAGAAGCCCCCGGCCCCACCCCATGGTGCTAGTGTGTCCGCGCACACTGGAACGGCAGCGTCGGTGCCGGCGGCGTTGCTCCAAGGAGCCGTCGACCCGAAGAGCTTCTTCCGGCTCTGCCGAGGGTTCTTCCTTTGTGTGGCCAATTGCGCGCCCCTTTCACGACTCGCTCGCTGGGGCCGACTCGGCGGCGTTCGTCCGAGCCGGTACGCAAAGACCGGAATGGGCGGCGCTGCCGGGACGCGCGCACGGGCCGCTGCGGCGGTTTCGATCGACCGGCGCCATGACGGCTCGCCCATGCATGCGGGTCCACGGAACATGGCGCCAAACTGGTACCGCGCGCGCGCACCGCCACGCACACCGAAGCAACCGGTCTACTCACCGTGGACAGCTCGCCGTCGTTGCGTATGGCATCCAGCACGTTCTCGGCCGCTCCTAGCGCGGCGACGACGGCGAGGAGCAGCGCGGAGCACACGGCCATCGGCGGCGTCATCATGATCGTGGCACGGGGACACAGCGCGGAACGACGCCGGCCGAGACGACGCCTAGCGCATTGTTCACCCGCAAGCGGCGCTGCCTCTGCCGGAGAGGGAAGGAGGGGGGCTAAGGGGTACGAGGGGGGGAAGGCTTTCGTGGCGTCCAGCTGACGTCATCCCCCCGCCAAGCTCCGGTTTTGCCCGCGCGAGCGCAACAAAGCCACCGCGGGGCGCCCCACCGCTCGACCACGCTCTGGGCGGCGCCCACCGGCTGCTGCACCGTCATCGCGCACCGGTGTGTGACCCCCTCTCTTACCCACGAACCGACAACAAAACTACAATGAACCCACCTACAAGAAACCTGGCCGCGCATTGTAGACTCTTCGGTACGAAGGTCTCCGCTTTGCATAGACGCCGACCTCCTCTCCCTCGCCCGTATAACTGGGACATTGCATTACCGCAACACTTGGTGCAAGTCTCCGCAGTTGTCTTACAAACGCCCGTCGCCAATGATAGGGTTACATTGGATCCACTTAAACATAGCGCATCCCTCCCGTACGGAGCGACTTGGTTTCGCGACGGGGCTCACCTCCTCTCCCCGGCACTGCAGACAGGGGCAAATGCATTATGGATTAGCTTTTATAGGAACCCGGTCCGCTTTAAAGCGGGCCCCGGCGCGGTGGTGCGAGACGCCTTGGCGGCCACCGTACGCTGTTGCGACCGGCAACTGCGAAAGCCGCCGTGTAAAAGGTACCCGCGACAGCGTCAATCCTCCCGCTGTGTCAAAGCAAGTCGCTTCTGCGCGCCTGGCTGCGCATCTGCGAGTTCGAGTGGCGGTACGAGCGAAGAGCTTTTGAACGATAATTGATCTGCGAGCGTGGCCAGGTGGGCCGACGGCTCTTACCACACTGGTGGGACTCGGGTTTCGCACTGATTGGCAGCCCGACGGAGGGAGATGGCTGAGAACCTGAGCAAGTTTATACTGGCGCAAATTTCGTGCAGTGTTTGTTTTCAGCTTGCTGACAATGCAATATGTACTTGGTAGACCACACGATAGCAGTTCCTCTTGAGCTGCGTTAGTGCCTGTTGACCTTACTGACTAATACATCACATCAACGCGCTTGCGACGTTCTCGTACTATCAACGTCAAATGAAACTCGAAAAGTGGAAAGCATTCGCGATGGTGTAGTACGCGACGTCCAGCTATAGCCATTTACAGGCGTGCGCATCTTGTTGGGCAGCACTGTACACGTCCACGCCTGTGCATGATGATAACTTGATTGTGCGGCTTTACTTCCCAAAACCACGATTTAACTACGAGAGACTCCGTCGTGGAGGGCTCGAGAAATTTTAACTATCTGGTGTTCTTCAACGTACAGTACACGGACCTCTACCATTGCGCCTCCATCGAAATGCGACTGGCACGGCCGGGATCGAACCTACGACCTTCTGGTCAGTGGCCGAGCACCTCAGTCACTGTTCCACCGAGTCGGACTATGCGGCTTTCATCTGTCGCCGATAGTATACGCAACCTGTAATGATTAAATGAACGACGGGACACCTACGTTTACTGCAGCGCCCAGACTTGAGTCAGTTGGTGATTTTTTTTTACTTTAGCTTGTGCTAATGTGTAATCCGAAGTCCACCCTTTTTTTGAAGGTGGATAACGTGGTTCACAGAAACAATTACCCTCCACACCCGTCATCTTTCTGCGTGAACCCTCTAAATTTTACTACTTCCTCGGTACTTACGCAACTTTCGGTAACCTCACACCATGGACCGCCATTCTCCATTCTGTTGCATTGTTGCTGTGGAAAGTCTGGGATATCGATGTCGTTTTGAAAGCACTCTCTACTTCTGAATATGATCGTGTGGACACTTCAAACCGTATGTCTACCTAGTTCAGCACGGCATTTCAGCGATTACAGAACTATGTAGTCATTCTGCAACATTTATTATGGCAGAGCCATTTCTGTAACAAGAAAGAGTGCCATATAATAAACTTAATTTTGACACAGCTACTAAAGCGGAAAATTGACCGTCGTAGCAATCTACTTGCCCTAAAGTGACACTGATGTAATAAATTATGTCAAATTGAGTGATTGATTTATTGATTGATTGATATGTGGAGTTTAACGTCCGAAACCACCATATGATTATGAGAGACGCCGTAGTGCAGGGCGCCGGAAATGTCGACCCCCTGGGGTTCCTTAACGTGCACCCAAATCTGAGCACATGGGCCTACAACATTTCTATCTCCATCGGAAATGCAGCCGCCGCAGCCGAGATTCGATCCCGCGACCTGCAGGTCAGCAGGCGAGTACTTTAGCCACTAAACCACCGCGGCAGGGCTAAATTATGTCGGAGTGAAAGCTAGATGTATGAAAACGTCTAAAACGGCAATATTACCGACAGCAGTGCCCTATACTTACCGAGAAATTAAGGTAAATGCACGAGAACGCATGTGCTACGATAGGAAATTCACAAAATGATCCCGATTACGTCCGAGGTACCACCTACAATTAATCGCTAGTAATCTAAGTAGCTGCACTAAATAAAGAACCTTCCGTGCACCAAGAGGCTGTTCGTTTCTGCTTGAATAATGACAAAAAGAACCGCCGAAAATACTACGGGAAATGTCGCGAGTGGCTCAAAAGTTCAATTTTCGCCGGGTAAACTGTACAGGTCATGCCATCTAGCGGGGCCCAGTTGAACCAATGCACGTCGGCCATCTCGGAGCCCATCGCAGGAAATTGTTCAAAGGCCAGTTGTTGCTGCTGTGGCTCCCGCTATACTTTCGATTCTGCTGCTACTTGTCGGCGGCCGCATAATAAAGCCGGGCAACGTTGGGCACGGGAAACAGTGACGTCTAAAAGGCAGCAATCACGCGGGTGATTTGACGTGCACAAATGCGACGCGCCCAATTAAAACATGATTTTATTTCAAAATAAGCACTGTCTTGGCACAAAAGCGATACTACGAGGTATCTGCGCCGCTAGTTCAACAATCAACGTCGACTTAATAGTTGCCTTTAGTGTCCATTTAACGCAAATGGTAAAACTTTGGAGGATAACAAATAAAATTGAAAAGCCTCGCCGCACGGTTTAGTGGCTAAGGCACTCGGCTGCTGACCCGCAGGTCGCGGGATCGAATCTCAACTGCAGCGGCTGCATTTTCTATGGAGGCCGAACTGCTGTAGGCCGGTGTGCTTTGGGTGCACGTTGAAGAAATCTAGGTCGTTGAAATTTCCGGAGCTCTCCACTACGGCATCACTCATGAACATATGGTGGTTTCGGGAGGTTAAACCCCACATATCATCACAAGGGAACGTTTTTTTTTTTTTTCGAGAGTTGGGAGGGGTCAACTATTTGATCTGAAATATAGCCGGGCAGGCAGATGCGGTCCAGTGTCGTTTGTTTTCTGTATTCTACGAGAGAAAAAAAAAATAATATTTTGAGGGGGGGAGGCCATGGGCCGGGTGTGCCACCCCCTGGTCCCGCTACCACCCACACATGATGCACGGTGGGATGTTTCCTGCATTGCTGTAAATCTTTGCAAGACACTGTCCTGTCATTTGCTTACTCATGAAATGACTCCGTCTCAAAGGGGCCCTGTAACGCTTGAAAACATCGGTGCCGACTGCATAACCCGTAGTGGCGCTCGCCAGAACTACTGCGAGCGGAAATGACGCCGAAGGCTGCCGCCATATGCTTGGATAATTGTAACGTTAAATTTGATCGCGGCGCATCAAAATAGTGTTTACTATTGGATTATTTTTTTTTTCATTAGCATGACTATGCACTCAGAGCGACAGAGAATAAAGCTCTCCGACTTTTCCAGCTTGAAAACTGCAAAGTTGGCCAAAGAATGCGCCGAACGCATGTGTTGGGGGAAATTACGCTCCAGGCGTCGTTATTTGAAAAATTTGAAAAAACTAAATTTAAAAAAAATGTGAGAGCATTGATATATATATATATATATATATATATTATATATATCTATATATATATATATATATATATATATATATATATATATATATATATACGTTTTTGCAAAAGTAAGGTCAGTAAAGCTACAAAACAATATAGAAGCATTCGCGAGCTGGAAGCTGGATCGTTTCGCACGGGTCCTACACTCTTCAAGTGCCACATTGTTACCATCGAAACAGCGTCCTTAATACGCTGGACGTAACAGGCTATATGTAATGCGAGCGTCCTCTACGGTAGGGCTTTTAGTTCATTTCACTGGGCAGCCTTCCGACGTCAGAGGGGGAGCGAAACACGGGAAGGTGAGCCCGCCAAAATTGAGTTGAAGGTGAGCATCCAATTGATTGTATTTTGATAATCTACGCTGAATAAATTTGCACTCCGTGGCCCTAACGGTGCCGTTCTTTTGGCTCTTATCTCTTAAGCCGTCAGCGTACGCAACCAGATATAAAAACATATATAGTAAACTATGAAGTCATGATAAATGTTAGAGGGCTCCTTTAAGTGGTGTTCAGCAGGGCGTCAACTTTAATCTTAACTTTGCATAACGCTCGACTATGAATTGTTTTCTTTTTGTGGTACTAGAAAACGTCGAAGAATGTTTAACACGAGCAAACAAAAACAGCGGTATGCCTAAAGGAAGACAAATTATTGGCAGCAGCGCTGACACCGTTTTTTTTTTTCTGCATTTGGTCTTATCAAAGTAGCTTTGTAAGAAGGCAGCTCGAAAAGCAGATCGGGACCAGTTGCCCACGCCAGTTGTTGACGGCGGCCCCAGTGAGCCCTCCTTACCACGCCTGATGTGTTCGCAGAGTGTGCAACCAGGGTTGCCAGTCGTCCCCTACCTATTCAACAAGTTCAATGCCCACGGGTGCGGACAAAGAAACAGTCGCCCCTCTTCGGGCGAGGCAGCCAAGGAATTGCTCAATTGCTGGAGTCTATTCAGTGCTCCGTACAAGAGAGATGAAAGCGGCCGTTATAAGAAAGATAGCTCCCAGAAGATCCACACGGCTTCTCGGAGTGTGGAAAATCTTGGAGGTGAGAAAACATTCGGTAATAAAGCTCCCAATGCACAGTGTTACGGGTTGGTGTTCAGGAAGTGAG